CCAACATTTGACCCAGCATTTGACCCAATATTTGATCAACATTTGAACCAACTTTTAACCCAACATTTGACCCAGCATTTGACCCAATATTTGATTAACATTTGAACCAACATTTGTTGGGTCAAATGTTGGGTTCATTTGTCATGGTTTTCTAACATTGTTGGGAGGTGCTTTTTTAATGTTGGATGAATGTTGGCATCATTTGACATGGTTCGCGGACATCCAGCCAAGGTTTGCTTGCACTACACATGCGCATTTACAAACCTGTCTCTCTCAAATTATTGCAAATGGTAAGCGTTGGGATCGCTTGACAAGCTGTTTTTTTTAAGACATGACGTGTCAGTTCCTGCCAACAAATATTTCCTAAATGTTTGGTCAAATGCCCGTCAAATTTTGGGCCGTTTTACAGGGCCCTACCAAGACAAAATGTATTTTCTAAACGAGTTCCAATGTTGTATTTATTTCACAAATAGTTGCCCCAAACATCACTACAAAGCTCAAAGAGAAGGTGGTAGTTAAGGTCGGCGACCCGTTCAACGTGACGATGAGAGTCACGGGACATCCCATGCCGGAGATATTCTGGATAAAGCAAGGCACTCGTGAGGTGGATTTTGATCAACGACTTAATTTCCCTAAAACCAAGATCGAGGACTCGGGAATCTGGACTTTTAGAGCGAGGAATATCATGGGGACTGCTACAGCTGAGTTCGAGCTGGTAGTAGGAAGTACGTGAGTTATCGAAAAACGAAAATGATGTCGTAAAAGATTTTATCCAACTCTTTCTGTGCTTTCTTCTTCTTTTCGTTGTTCTTCTCAGTTCTTCGTCGTCTTCTTCTTTTTTTTCGTTCTTTTTTCCTCTTCTTTTTATTCTACTTCTACATCTTCTTCCTCTTCTACTATTAACACTACTACTGCTGCTGCTGACGTCGCTGCTGCTGCTTCTTCTTCTTCTAAGAGTATATGCTTTAAACGAAGCTGTTGAAAATTGTTGTGAGTGTGATCGTCCGGGGGAGTGTATAGTCTTGAGAAAGACTAATCTCCGATCTTCACCCTTCTCTCTTCTCAACCAAGCGAGCAAGCGAACGATTTATGATTAAATCTGATTGATTGACCTATCGTTTCATATTGATATTTCAGAAAAGCCAGTCTTCATCAAGGAACCACAAAAAAACGTAGTAGCATATGAAGGAAGGACGTTTGAATTCAAATGTGATGTGGACGGACATCCAGAACCTGTGATAGGTTGGAAGCGACAGGGCAACGCAGTTTTGCCAGCAGGACGTCATAAGATTATCAAGGAAACCCTGTATCTCACCGACCCTAAACCAGAGGACGCGGGATTGTACTTGTGTCGTGCTGCTAATGTTATGGGGGCCGTTATTGGTGGCTCTAGAATATTCATCCAAAAAATAGGTAAGATATTGAGCCGTGTGTACTACCAATACCAGAATCCCTTGTGCACTTTCTTTTGTCAGTCATTGAGGACCAATGTGTCTTACTTTTCTAATGGGAGGCCAAAAATTTAATCAAGAAAGACAATTCGCATTGTATTCGCCAATATGTAGGCAGGCAGGCAGGCAGGCAGCGCAATCACTACTTAGTTTGTCATTTATTATTATGGGTTTGATTTCATTCATTCACAGCCCCACTTACCGTCAAGATTCTGAATCCAGCTGAAGTAGTTTACAAAGACACCACTCCTCTCAAACTGAACTGCTCTGCCACAGGAAACCCGCAACCTAACATTACCTGGTACAAAGATGGCGTCGCTTTGAAAGCCAATATACTTGTCAAAAGACCATCGAGAACTAACCCGCTACCAGAATACTTGTCTCAGTTAGTGATAGACCAAGTTTCTACTAAAGACGAAGGGACGTATACCTGCTCTATGCGGACTAGTTTGGCTCCTCAACCTGTAGAATACAACACGACAGTCAGTAAGTATTGCGGGCTTATAGAGCGAATTCGCGTGGCTGTGTAAAATATTGCGGTGCGCGAATGTATTATACCATACTGTGACATACGTGCCGTGCCTTGTATGATATTTAAGGGGCCGTTAATTTTTTTAAGGGCATGGGAGGGAGGAGAGAGGTGGGGAGGGGGGCGTTGGGATTTTGTGAATTGTAAATAAACATTTTTTACAGATAAGAAAATGGACTATAGACCCCTTGCAGCACTTGCAATGCAGCTCAATCTGGGGTACAAAACAATAGGTTCCAATTTTATCCCCCAGACCAAACTGATTTGAGCTAGTTTGCACCACTGATCACGTGATGGCAGCCATGACAGGAGGCACAACAATAGAGTCTTTTTCCCTGGGAATCTGAATCCTTTCTCATGTAAATCAGATTAGAAAAGATTCAGTTGTTCCTGCCTACTATTGCTGCCATCACGTGATGGTGCAAAGCCTCTTTTCTGGTAAAAAATTCATTACTAACCGTGTTTTTATATTGACAGGTCTGTTTAAGTGCAAGCCACTAGAAGCACCTGCAAATGGCTACATCGTAGGCAAGAATTTCCATGTGGGAGCGTGCGTCAAGTTTGCTTGCAACCCTGGATGTATGTTGTATGGATCAGCAATTCGTGTGTGTAACGCACACGGCAAATGGAGTGGAACAGCACCAACATGTGAGTACACTGGGCTCGCTGTGGTAAAAGAAGGTAGAGAGAGACTAAAAATTTTTAAATGGAAGAAAAGGGGGGCTCAATTTTTTTAGTCGAGTGTTTATTTTTGGGCTTCCTGTGGTAAAGGGTGACAAAGAAATGACTGAGGAGATGTTGGGGCAACAGCGTTCTCGGAGTAGGATTTCTATCCCTAAATTTAGAGTAACTTGATTATCGGGCTTCCTGTGGATAAAGATGTCAGAGAGAGACTGATGAGATACATAATGAGCCATGGCTGGCTCAGAAAACGTTTTGGTAGATTTTCTTTGTCTGTTTTTCTATCTTTCGGGTATCCTGTGGCTTCAATTGACTGGTTTATGTTATACCAACAGGCTATGACGTAGGCGAAGTTGCGTACGAATGCCACCATTACAACGTGCTTACCGATGCAGACCGGAATGTCAACTCGAAGAAAATCCTTGGTAAATGTGACAATAATCTCGCAGAGGGCTGGTACCGATTTGGGGGTGAGGCTGGCACTCAGATGCCTATTTCTTGCCAAGGTCCGCGCAAGTGCAACGCAAAGTATCCCGGGTGGTTATACGGGCAGCACCCACGTAAAGAAGATGGCTGCATCCAGACTCACGTCTGCTTCGGTGACTACAAGAGCAAATGTTGTGCTTACAAGCAGAACGTGTTGGTTCGTAACTGTGGGAAGTTTTACGTGTATAAATTGAGTCCCAGTCCGGGATGCAACATGAGATACTGTGCTAAAGATTAAAGAGGAGAGGGATTTTTCGCTATCTTCAGTTATATGAGCTATCCATATAGCTATAGGGTAAACAACAGTACGACAATCCCGCAGTTAATGAACATGTTATTGCCGTCTCCCGCAATTGAACTTTCAGTTAATTTTAACAGCATGCATGCTTTTGCATTAAGCCAGCATCTTTGTCTAAAGACGAAAGAATATTTATAGCAAGAACTGCTTAAATATGATAAATGCGTATGTATATATTGAACAAGCTTACTTCAAGGACGGCCGTCAGAGTACTAAGGCTCTATTTACATGGGGGCGGATCATCCTAGGACTAGAATCTTCCTTGCAGGCGAGTCATCTATGCGTTCAGTTTACATGGGGAACGAGGTGTGTGAACTTTATCCCTGTAGTGCTACAGTACTCAGTGTAGGATCTTCCTATCAGCGACACAGGATGAAAAAACCTAGTACCCGAAAGAAGCCCGTGCATAAACAGAAGGTTATAGATATATACCCCACAGGCGCGATTACACGGAGCAATTTTCTTATTTGCAATATGTGGCTGTTGCGACACAAGTTGCATGGAGCATTGCAGCGTGTAACCTGCTGCGCAATTTGAAAAATGTTGCGAGATAAGTTGCAGCAATCGTTGCGAAAAGTAGACTTCGTTTCTACTTTTGGCAACGATTGCGTCTCCGTTGCACCGTGTAGACACTCTTGCAACTTGTGTCGCAACGCTGTTGCGAGACAAGTTGCAGAGAAAAGTGCAACGTGTAATCGAGCCTTGAAAGGGGTAGTTGCGGTTTAACTAATATTCTGAGCGTTTTCCTTCTCTCAAAACCAACATTGCCTCGCGTGGAACCACTAAAATAAATTGCATATTTAGCAGTTTTAATGTTGAATTTGCTTTCAAGACTATATACATAGCGCTCTAAGTAGAGATTTATATTCTATATTGTATATGATGGCTGAATAATGCTTCGCTGGTGTAACCGAGACAATATATAACTAGATGGCTTTATAGCACTATATAAATAGGGAGTCTTTTTCTCGTCCAGAGTCGTAGTTTTAGCTTAAAGAAAATTCTGGAGTATTTGGATAAGTTTTTAAACCCAGTCACTCAAAGAGACTCTGATATTAACTAATGACTTTTCTTCTGGGTTATCCACATATTTAGCGCAAGCTGCAAACATCTTGCTTAACATTTTTACTAGATTTTTCCGTTCACGCTACAACTTGGTCAAAAGATCACTTTTCGCATTTTGATATAAAACGGGCTCCCTGTGCGCTTAGCAAAACTGTATTGTCTACGAAGCTAGTTATGCAGCAAACAATGAATAAATAAATGTAAAATGTCTGACGATTACAATTAAATATAACCAAAACAACAAGTAATGCCACAAGATACGAGTGTCAATGAATGAATTCTGATTTTAATATTTCTCTCTGTCTGTCTGTCTGTCTGGTCTTTACTCCGCATCGCATGGTCTCTCCCTTGATTCGAGTGATTTTTCTCTGGGTTCTCTGGCTTTTCTCCCTCAGCAAAACCTAAAACGCTAACTGCCAATTCCATCTGTGAGTTAGCCGTGCCCTGACTTTGATCAGCTCAGAGTTTGTTTCAGGGTTGCATCTGTGAGTTAGCCGTGCCCTGACTTTGATCAGCTCNATCAGCTCAGAGTTTGTTTCAGGGTTGCATCTGTGAGTTAGCCGTGCCCTGACTTTGATCAGCTCAGAGTTTGTTTCAGGGTTGCATCTGTGAGTAAGCGGTGCCTCGACTATGAGGGTTGTACATGTCGTTCAGGGTATTGATAAAATTTGAAGGTTTCGTTTGTCTGTTATGGCTGTTTTTTTAGCCTCGTATCCTATGTCGACCAATGAATAATTAACACAATTCTAAACTGCTGTTCTATGTACACAAGGACAAAACGTACATTATACGACAAACCACAAGCGACAACATCGAACCACATGCCACCACAATCTGATTAATGTTATTCGTCTTTAATGCTACCCGCACGAAACGACAGACCGATATTCAGGAATTTTGGGTTCGGAAAACAAATTAAGGCAACCAAAAAAAA